TTCAGTGGGGCGATCTGAAGGCCAAGTCCCCACTTCTAATTGCAGAGCCTGAAACGGTTTCATGCATGCCCCTGGCAAGCTGTGGAGGATAAGAGTTTCATTCTGCACCAATAGGTGGGAATTATTTGCAATTTATTGTGCAGGGAAATCTAGGTCATGGTCTCTCGTGGCCAATGAGAGCTCACTGGATGGCAAGAGAAGCTCAAATACCAGGACTGTGTGCTTCATGGGGACCTGGGACTCCAAAGCCGTAATTTCTTCCAATAATTTTTTTTCTACTTGGCTGCACACTTCAAAGCAAGTGCTTGGGAGACTAAGGATTGAGAAAGTCAGGAAATGCTGCTTGATTTCCCCTTCCCAAAATCCTGGGAACACTCTCTGATCTGGACAGTTGACTCCTTCAAGTTCTCTTTGCACCGGCTCGGTGACTCAGTGAGCATTGGCTTAGCATTCCTCAGAGAAAGAATAGCTCAAGTTTATTGAGAGCTTACCAGGCATTTGGCTAAGTTCTGGGAATGCAAAGTTGAGCAAAACCTTGACTTTGTGGAATTTGCATGTTAGTGGTGGCGGTAGGGTGTTGGGGAGGGGAGATAAACAAGACACGATGATACAACGTGGTAAGGAATGTCCCTAAAGTATACAGGGAGGAGGAAATATTTCTTCCCTGGAAGAGAGGAGAAGACTTGCTCAGGAGGTAAAGGACTTCAGAACAGGTCTCCCGAGAAGATGTCACTTTGGCATGTAGACTGTTTCGAGCTAATGACATCGAGGCCCAAAAAGACTCAGAAAGAGCTTATCACCTCTCCTTGAACTGCCTAAAAGACGGCCTGGCCCAGGAAAAAACCTGTCGCCAGACAGAACTATAAAGAGTGTGGGTCAGGTGTGGTGGGCTCGGGGGAGCTCGGCAGGGCCTGGAGGTCGAAGACTTCTCTGTGCCCCCTCGTCGCTGAAGTGATTTACGTATATTAACTCATTTAATTCTCATGGCAACCTTCTGATGTAGGGACTACTATTTCTCCTTTTTTACAAACAAGGAAACAGACAGAGAAAGCAACTAGGTAGCTTGGTAGTCAGCGGTAAATGTGAATTTGCACCCAGGCTGTCTGGCTCTTGGAGGCTGTGCAGTCTGTTGTTGAGACTATGTCCGTGTCATAGCTTTAAAGAGGTTAGGGGGCTTTAGATTGTTCAGTTATAAATATCAGGAGTTGACACCATGTCTGCCTGGCTCCAAAGTCCTAAGCCTTCAATTTTTTGCCCTGTTCCATCTTAAATGTAATATGAGTGTTCAGCAGGGTTATCACAAAGATATTTAGAAAACTAAATTTCTGGAATTAAATAGAGCGCAGTAGAGAGACCTCTGATTCCTGGTAGGGATGGAATCAGTCGGTTATGGCGGGGCTGGGGAAATGCAGGGTGAGTGGATTGAAAGCCTGTGAGGAACTGGGATTTGGAATGCACCTTCAGCCTATGGTTCCTATCTTGAGACACTGTATCTGAGATCACATTTTAAGATCTTCAAGCTAGGAACCACCTCATCTGTCAAAGCATTTAAAAGCAGAAAATGATGTCCCTTGTTATCTCTGACCCCTGGCAGATTTTCCTTTATTAAAAGGGCCTGAGTTGGGAAGTCACTTCCTATAGAAATCCCTTCGAGTGCAGAGACAGGAGTCCAAATTCCTTGTGCTTTAGCTAATGATTAAATGTCTCCTTTTCACCTTCCAGTTTTCTCCTTCTTTTCCGAGCAATTTAATCATAACCATTTATGTATATTGTTTGGTTAGTCATGGCAACAAAGCCATTTGATAGGCCAATTAGCAACTAAATTTAGACGTGATATTGACAGTCCAGCTGCGTTAGCCAAATTTTTGAGATTCTAGCATAAAGGCTTGACTAATCTCCCCGAACAGCCAACACACTTGGAAATGATGGTGTTGTGACTGAAGGAAAAGTTTCCTTAGCATGTTGGAATACATCGCTTTGGCTTTCAAATACATTTGCAAAGCAATCACGAGGGGTGAGAATGCAGCTCATTTGGTTTCATTTAAAGTAGCCTGTGAAAAAACAATGCAGACGGGAGAGGAACTCCTTTGGAGGAAAAGCACTTTGTGGGAGAAATGTGGATTTCAGAATCTCCGTATCAAGCTTCCTTTTATTTTCCTGTTTAGAGAAACAAGAATGGAATTGTCAACATCGCAACTTTAAAAATTAAACTTACAACAATCTGCTTCAATGGACACTTCATATATATGCATGTAAACTGTTACTCCTGGTTTTCATGAAGGTTTGAGAGTGTTTTATAATTAAAAAAAATTTTATTTATTGATTTTAGAGAAAGAGGAAGGGAGGGAGGAAGAGAGGAGGGAGGGAGAGACTGAGGGAGAGAGAGAGAGGGGAGCATCAGTTTGTGATCCCACTTATTAATGCACTCATTAGTTGATTCCTGTAGGTGCCCTGACCAGGGATCAAACCCACAACCACAGCATATGGGGGTGATGCTCTAACCCACTGAGATACCCGGCCAGGGCCATGTTTTATAATTTAAAATATGTGGTCTTAAATTTGATTTAAATGAAAAGGTATTTATAAGTTTAACATTGAATTTGTAAATGAGTATGTAACATTGAAAGAGTCTCTCTGCTTATTTTTTTTGAAGCTGTCAAGGTGATTCAACCATGTTCCAAATCTTCAAAAATAATTTGTAAAATAACCCACATAAACAAAAAAAAAATTTCAGGCAAGTTACTTTCAGTTTATGGTTTGAATTTTAGCTTGGTCTCTCTATTCATCAAAACAAGCTTGTCTACTCTGTGCAGGATAACAGATGTTTTTCAGATTCCAAATGTTCAGCTACCCAAGGAAAATCTTCATTCCCTGAAGGAAATGAGGATACTTACCTAAAAGTTTGCTTCAGAGAAAAGGAATAACATTATTTATTTTACACGTGCATTAAAAGTTCATCATGGTGCTCATTAGGCACCGAACAACGGGTCTGCCGCATGCCCACTGGAAAGTTGTTTCTAGTTTCCCTTCATTGTTGTAAATGACCATTGACTTGAGTAAAACCTTTTATTCTAGATCTTGGTTGGACCTATTCAGGCGGTAAGTGTACAGGAGCACAAAACAATGTATGAACTTTGATAATGTCAAAATACTGTGGAACAGACCCCAATTTAATATGCAACAACATCTGCCCTGGCAGACGTGGCTCAGTTGGCTGGAGAGTCCTCTCATAACCAAAAGGTTGTGGGTTTCATCCCCAATTTGGGCGCATACCATCCCCAGTCTGGGTGCATGTGGGCAGCAACAAAGCAATGTTTTTCTCTCACATCAATGTTTCTCTTTCTCCCTTCCTGCCTCTTTTCCTCTCTCTCTAAAAGCAATGAAAAAGATGTCCTCGGGTAAGGATTAAAAAAATGAAAAAAAAATGTAATAACATCTCCATTTATATGAAATATCCAGAATAGGCAAATCCATAGAGACAGAAAGCAGATTAGTGGTTGCCAGGGCCTGAAAATGAGGGTGGGGAATGGCGCGTGACTGCTTAAATGGGTGCAAAGTTTCTTTTTGGGGTGATGAAAGGATTTGGAACTAGATAGCAGAGATGGCTGTGCAACATTGTGAACACTGAAGGCCACTGAGCCATACAGAATAAAGTTGTATGTTTATGTTATGTGAATTTTATGTCAATTTAAAAAATGTAATAACATTCAGCTGTGAGGGCTAGCAGTGATTGGTGAGGGAAAAGGATGCTTTAGGAGAAGATTGAAGTCACGTGCCTATTTTTGGCCTCAGCCCAACTCTCTCCCTTTAAAAATGGCAAACTAGACATCAGCCTAGAAGAAATGAAGTAGATACATTGCGTGAGCTCTAAAATGCGGTTCCACCAGATACTTGATGGCAGGGCACTAGATCCCATTTCCTAGGACCCCTTTTCGCTCTGAAGTCCTAGGAAATTTGCTTAGCACACTACGCTCTTCCCCGGTGGGGCTCCGCCTGTTCATCGGCTCTAAGCCCTGAGGCTCGGTGCCCTGAGGTGGTCATACTGAAACCCAAAGCCAAGAAACCTCAAGAGCCCCACATCTTCCTATCCTCAGGTGTCACCTCAAATGTCACATCATCATCTAAGCAGCTTCTCCGCTTATATTTTAATCTCTACCTGCATGTTGGCTGAACATGTGTCTTCATTGCACTTACCCAAACAGGTGTTTTGGGTGCTTGCTTTTTTTATTTTTTTGTCTGTCTCATTCTCTAGAAGGTCAGCAACATGGCATCATAGACAGATGCTCACACGTCTCCCTCGGCTCCTACTTCAGTCCAAACACAAAGCCAAGTGCTGGAGAAGCAACGAGGGAGGCAAACCAGGCCCAATCTCTGCGTTAATGAATGGATAGCCCAGTGGGAGAGACAGGTGTTAAGCTAGGAACCACACAGGAAACTAGAACTGCAACCATGACTACTGCTTTGAGAACCGAGAGGCTGAGTAATAGGGAAATTTAACCTTGTTGGGGAGGGGAGACAAGGCTTCTCTGAAGAAGTAGTACTTTGTGAAGTTTGAAAGCCAAGCAGGGACTGATCAGGTAAAGAGGAGAGACAAGCGTTCCAGGCAGAGGGCAGCCAGTGCAAAGGCACAGTGGTGGGAGGGACGTGACTTGAACAAGACTCCCAGGAAGGGGAGGTGGATAGAGGTCAGACCAAGCCAGCCAAGATTAGGAGTTTGGACTTTATCGTAAGAGTAATGCGAAGCTATTGAAGATCCTCAGGGAGGTGGGCGGGGCGGGGGAGCGACCTGATCGGATTTACAGTCTGAAAAGGCACTCCGTAGGGCAGGGAGTGGACGGGGAGGGGAGTGGCCTTTGTGCCTGACCGGGCTGCCCCTTCCCCTTCCTTTCTTGTCCCTGCTGTCCGGATGGAGTGATAGGGGTGGAACAAGCCTGGCTGATCATATCGCCCTGACTCCCTCAGAGCGACTGTTGGGATTTTAGCAGGGACTGAGAGAAAAGATGGCTTTGAACTCGAGCACACAAGAGGAGCTGCTGTCGCCATCTTGCCACCATGATGCGGAGAGTGTGGTGCCAGCAGGAGTCACCAGGTAGAACCTGAGAATGGGGCTGAGCTGAGAGAGGGTGCGCGGCGGAGCCTGATGACTTTCCGTGTCTTGTCAAAGCACAGCAGAGGTTGTCCTGGCTCATGTACACATCAGTTCTGCGAGCCAATGCTTTCTTGTTTTGCTTCTGCCAAATCTCACCCAAGAGTGAGAGGGCTGATGGACAACATGGGAGCCTGGAAGCAGTCTCCACCTGGGCATGCCCACCTGCCGAATCAGGACAGCGGGGGACAGAGATTCCTGCTTCAGCTCCTCCTGCCAAGCAGAGGGACACCAGAGTGGGGGTGGGGAGGGACGGGAGGAAAATGGCCTTCAGCCTGGGAAGATGTAATTTTGGGTTGCTGGGTAATCTCGTAGTTAGAGTCGGTTGCGTAAATTTAGCCTTGTCTGTACGAAAAAGTTACTGTGTAGGTGCTATTCTGTCTTGGTTTCCTCGTTAAGTTCCTCTTGGAAGCTTGGGTCTGCTCTTGGTTGATCTGATGGGAAAGGGAGGGAACTGGGAACCAGAGAGGTCGGAATGCCCTGGAAGGAAGTTGTAGGGTGAAGAAGGGGGTGTGTGGCAGCCACTGAGGTCAGACCTCAGCTCCAGGGTGTGCGCCAGCAGCGGCGGAGAAAAGACAGACTATCTGTCTCTCCCACCTACGATGCGGCTCCTGGCTGAGTACCTTCCAGCAAAGCCTCCCCAGGCAGCCACGCCGGGAGCCTCAGCAAACTCTGTAGGTTTTCAGAGCCAAAACTGCCTCCCAAATCTGATCATTATTTGAGGCTCCAAATAATGATCAGATTTGGCACTTCTCATTCTCCCAAAGGAGGAATAATCTCCACAAGGGAGGATAAACCAGGGAGATGCCAGGACTCCAGTCTGTCTTTCAGGATGAAAGAGGCAGAACAGTATCGCCGAGAGAGCTGCACAGGAAACGAGCAGCCATGGGTTCAAGTTCTTGCTCTGCTAACTAATAGAGCAATGGTGAGCAAGACCTCTTTGCTCTCTTTCTCACTCTCAAGTGAGAGCCTTGGATTTGATGTTCTTAAATCAAATGCTATACAAGGTTTAGTGGGTAACTGTCTTTTTAAGTTACTCAGAAGGTGACCCCTCTCTCAAGATTTGGGAAAATCAATCACCTCTTGCTTCAGAGGTCTCCCACTCCTCTCTCAGCGGAAGGGGAGACAGCTTTCTGTCTCTGCGCCTACACAGCACTTGACTATGGATCTTCCCTCCTGGGGTTTTGAATCTAGGCAGAGTGGCTTGGAGGTACGGAAGGGGAGGGCGCGGCTTGTGACAGTGACCGCGGTGGGTGGGGGTGGGGCAGGAACCGCGGCACCGGTGGACAGGCACAGCGCAGCAAGGGGACGTCGGACCCCGTGGCCCAGCCTTCCCAGGCTGGGTTCCTAGCCTTCCCTTGAAGCCTGCGGACCAACCAACAGGACCTACCTACCCTTTAAGCTTTTCGTGAGGGTTAAATGAGATGATCCATGCGACATACTTAGCATTGTGCCTGACCCGTATTTGAGTAACAGCTCAAATATGTATTATTATTGTTTTCAAAAGATGATGTAAGTTGTTTTGAAAAAAAAAAACAACGCCCTAGGATTAAAAATGGCAGTTGGGCTCAAAAATGTTTTTATAATGATTTTCTTTCTCTTCCCCTTCCCCCTCTCCATTCACACTCACACAAAGGCACTTACCTGCTCTCACAGTGCGGTAAGGAGGTAGAGAATGCAAGACCCCATCCCCGTCTTCAAGGAGCTAACAGTCCAATCAGAAAGATAGGAAATACACATATTCAACGTTGTCCGTTTAAGAATGTCATTTATGGGCCAAGTCAGTAGCGTATCCCATAAGAAAATGTTTTGAAACATGTCCAAATATTAAATAAAGAGAATTACAAGTCCCAATATATTTCAAATCACCACTTTCACAGTGATAATTTTCTCCAAGACAAATTAAAATCAATAGTAAAAATGTTAATACATTTTAAAAAGAAATGCATTTGGAAATAAAAAAGTTCTCACTGATTCCTAGACTACTAGGTAATGGAAGTTATAAAGCACTTATGGCTGAACAACAGTGAAAACACAAACTATCAAAACTTTTGGGATGCAGTACAAGCAATATTTAGAAGAAAGAAAAAAGAAAGATATAAATGAATTTGGTGTTGAACTGAAGAAGTTATTTCAGAGTAAACTCAAAGAAATTAGAAAGGAGAAAATAATAAAGATGAGGACTGGAAATAAATGAATTGAAAACAACAAAACAAGTAGTCAAAAAAATTAAAAGTAGACTCTGCCATCTCCAATGAAATGGACAAATCTATCACAAGCCAAATGAAGAGATAAAGAAAAAGTGCAAATAAACACTCCAGGAGGGCAAAAGGGGACACAGCCATACACCTGAGAGTAAAATCACCACAAGAAAATACTGTGGCCAATTTTATGCCAATGCATTTGAACATGTATGCTGTCTCAGACACAGGTAGTTGCTGTATCTGTGTTATGACATGGTATGAACTGCTATGCTCTGATTTGATATGATATGGTATGTTATCATAACACAATCCTAACATCCCAGTGGCTTAAACGCAACAAAAGTTTCTTCTTGCTCATGTTGCAGGACCAGTGTGGCTGTGGGTGGGGACCTGCCTGATGTAGTGACTGAGGAATCCAGGCGGATGGAGGATGAACTCCTCCGCACAGTGCTTACAGGGTCCTCGCAGCTGGAGAATCTGGCACTGGAGATCAGGAGCTGCTCCTTGTGCAGCAGGCTTGGAGACAGCTGCTCCGATCTCCCTTTAAGAGACAACCTGCTGTGAGCAGTGAAGTTGGCTGACAGCCCCCAGCTATTGGAGCTTTCAGGATCTGCTGCTGTGTTCTCCTCCAGGTCAAGATCTCTCTGGGCAGCTGGCAGCCCAGTGTGGTTCCTCGGGCCTGGCATCTTCGCCCAACCTGGAGCTACCCTTACCCTTGCAGGTAATCTGCACTTGAAGTTCCTGTTGGTCTTGGCCAAGACTTTCTCAGAGCTGCACCGCAGTTTGAACATCTTTCTACCCAGTCCTCCTTATGTAACGCTCTTCTTATTTCCCCCATGGGTGTCAGATCTGCAATGCGGCCTGAAGGCTTTCCCAGCCTGTTCTGATCCCCTCCCCCTGTATCTTTCAAGCATTACCCATAATAAATCTCTTGCATTCCTGACTCCTGACTCCCAGCAGACCAGAACTCACAGAGCCTCTAAGTCATATTTCACTTGTACTCACATTTCATTGGCCAAAGCTAGTCGTATGTCCATGCCCATCTTCAAGGGGGTAGAAAGGCTAATCCAGAACACAACTAGATATTGGGGTACATTTGTATATCTATTAAACTACTGAAATGAATATTAATGATTCACCCCCCCCTCTTTTTTTTTTTTGCCAGCAAAGCCCCAGTTTTGTTCAGGTGTCTGTCCTGCACTCCCTCTTATGACTGAGGGGTAAATTGTAACTTGCCAGAGCCAATTACAACCATCCTGTTGACCTCCTCAGTGGTTGGATCAGGAGGAGGAGTATGACCCAATTCTGGCCAATGAAATGGGAGAGGAAGTATCCTGGCTTTTAAAAAGGGACAGGAAGTGGGGGAAAACCCTTTTCTGTTGCTGAGATTGTGGTATGTGGATGTGTTACACAGAGCTGAGGCGGTCACCTTGCTGCGTGTCAATGGGGAAAAAGAAAAAAACAAAAATAAAACTCAGGCTGGAAAACTTCTGTAGGGAGACTTTTATGGAAGAAAAATCAAGAAAATGGAGACTTAGTTAAGCCCATGTTCTGCCTCTTGCTGTCTTTTTCTTATCAGACCAGTTTCAGTCACACACCTCTCTCCTTCACACCACATCAGCTCTTGTTTGAAAAACAAAAACAACAGCGAACAGTAGGATTCAAAGGGCACAGAGAAAAAAGCTAAAATTGACCAGTTAGGAAACAAGGCATGCATTCATAATTTTCTTTTGAATCACTGTTTTTGAAAAAAGCACCCAAACACAATCAACCGTTGTCTATAAAGTAAAACAAATTCCTAAAAAGGAAAAAAGAAACGCCGGATTGCTCCTTCACTCCATATCAGGGAGAGGGACTCACATTCATGGGGCACACAATTCTTACATGCCTGACACTTTGTTAGGTACTTACCATACGCTGCCTCATCAGATGCCTTTGCGTGGCCCTTTCTGTGAAATGTTAACTCCTGACAGAGCCTGTCATACCCGGTGTGGTCTGGCCTTACTCTCCAACTCTCCCCTCCCATCGCTGCTTCCTCCTGGCCATCCTGACCTTCTTCTGTTTAAGAAACGTGCCCAGCATGTCCCTGCTTCAGGGCTATTGCACGTGCCATTGCCTCTACCTGAAATGCTCCTTCCTCGCTCCTCCCGTGTCTGATCTGTTCTCATCAGTCAGAACTCAGCAAAAACACCCGCTTCTCGGAGAGGCCTTTCTTGGCCGTCCTTCCTAGAACAGCATCTCTCCCTCTACCGCTCATCGCCTATCCTAGCACCCAATGTTATTTTTTTTTTCCTGATGAGCTTACTGTATCTGAAGTTATCTTTTGTTTGATTTTGATCTCTCTGCTCCCACTAGATTTTTCCTCTGTGCCTTGTTCACTGCGATATCTTAAGCATTTGGAAAGGTGGCTGGCACAAAGGATATGCTCAACAGTGCTGAAAAAATGGAGAGATAACACACCTTATTAACCTTATATGGCAGAGTATGTGTTATTTACAAGGTCAACATCCTCCAGCCAAAGACCACCAAGAACACACTGGTAGTTCAACAACTTGGGTTTGTTCTTCATTGCAGTGAAACACAATGCACACCATCGGGACCACAAGGTAGCTCAGCAGTGGGGTGTTAGAAGGGAACTTACAGGTGTGCGTTTGAGTGAGGTGATTTTGATTAGGGTTTAAAAAAGCAGGACCCCCCACCCCTTTTGTTTTTATGGATTGGATGTTAGCAAGCAGGGATGATTCTGTGATGGAGTATTCTTAATACCTCCCATCTCTAAGGCAGGAAGACTTGAATGAGGCTAAAACTGTAACCGGTAAGCAAGAATTATAGCAGTCATTCACATTAGCCAGGATTGGGTGATGTTTGGTGTTTTTGTGGTTTCCCAGTGACCCTGTTTTGGTCATACTTAGACAAGAATACTGAGCGGTCTTGTCTGATACAAGGTGTCTGTGCCACTGTATTTAAAGGGAGAATGCGAAGGCCTAGCTGGATGTCAGGGGCTGTTTTTTAGTTTGTCTTAAGTGTCCTTGGCTTGGAGTCCTGTGTCAGAAAGACCAGAAATAAGCCAGAGTATTTCTGAGGGCCATTTGATAGTACCCCCCTCCCCCCGCTAATTCTGGATTTGCATGGGGGTAGCCACTGAACCAAGACAGTGGAAACTAATGTAGAGAAACAGCGCTTTTGAGGTCAAACAACTCAAAAACATCCTTATTTGCCTCAGAATTAACTGCCATCTCAGCACATGCCCAGGTATATCTAATTTTCAAATGGTGGATGGCATGTCTTATTTTTTTTTCACTTTTTTAAGTGTATTTTCCCCCATTACGATTTAGTCCCCTCCACCCTCCACCCCCCCAGCAGTCACTGCACTGTTGGCCATGTCCATGAGTCCTTTTTGTTCAATCCCTTCACCCCCTAATCCCCCTGGCGCATCTTCTGTGTCTTGAGCGATAGATGACCCAGTCCTCAGCATTGCGCCGAAAGTCAAGTTGAACAGTCCACTAGAGCCTTGGTTCTGCTTCAAGGTTTTCTCTAAATACAACCGTATAGTTTTTAGGAAAGTCTTTTAACCAGTATCCCAGCACCTTCTGGGCTCCCATAGGTATTCCTCTGGTAACATCCCCGTTACTTTGTAATTAATTTGTTTATAACACTTGTATCCTTGGAGCTTAATTTTTACACAAAACTTGGCAGAGGCTAGACCCTCTATAAATATTAAATGGATTTAAAATGGATTTAATTCCCGGCTTGAATTCATCTCACAAAACACTTACTGAGTCTGTACTATGAGCCAGGACATTATGATAAATCATCTAGTTCTTATCTTCTGGGAATTAGTATTCACTTCTAATAGATGTAGGAAAAAGAAGAATACCTGGCATTTATTTCAGATCGGGCACTGCATTAGGTGCTCTAGAGGTGCTCTACAGGTTAGGTACTCAGGTTAGGTGCACCTGAGTTACTGCCATTTTACAGGTAGGACAACCAACAGGCTACCAGGTTTAGTAACTGTGCTGAGGTCAGCAGGGGCAGAGCAGGGATTTTAACTCGGACATCCTGACTCCAGTAACATTTGCCCAACTATTAGGTTGAAGGGTGCCCTGTAAATTCACAGTTCGGTTATTAACTCAGAGCAGAGGTCCTGTACCCAGGTTGTCAAAATTGTGGCATTTATTTTAAAGTGGAATAAGTTAATATGAGCAATGTGGGGAATATTTATGTCCTTTATCAGCCAGTGTGAACGGAGGAACAGAGATGCATTAGCTTTCTGTTACAGCAGAAACGAATTTCGGTTTAGCTTCAGATCTGAACATCAGTCAGTTACATTTATTGAGCTCCCACTGTGAGCAAAACAGGTGTTCCCTGCTACCTCCTCTGTCCCCCACATCCTGGAGGAGGAGGAAAAGTAGGGAAGAACAAGAGAAGACAAAGAGGTTGTGCAGGGTGAGCAGGTGAAAGTCGGGGGCTCATTCGCCACAGCCCCGTGCCCGCGCCGACCACGCCCCTCAGTCTCGCCCTGGCCCCCAACCCCCCTTTAAACTCCCGCCCCTTCTTAATGATTACCAATGCCTGGCTAGGGAGCCCGTAGGAGGCTGTGGATTGGCCGGCGCCGCGGTTGCCGAGGTGACGGGTGGGCCCGGCGGGGTCCCGGAGCCGGGAGAGAGCTAGGGTGCTTGGCGATTTCCGCCGCGCCCTGGCCGGCGCGCGTGGGCGGCCCCCGCGCGCCCCTAGCCACCGCGCGCGCCTTGCCGGCCTCCCGCTCGGGACGCACCGCCCTTCGCCTCCGTCTCCGCCCCCAGGACCTGCGGCCGTCCGCTTCCAGCGCCGCTTCCCCAGCCGGCGGTGCGATGGGCTGCGGGAACTCTACTGCCACCAGCGCGGGCGCGAGCCGGGGTGAGCACAGCGGAAAGCCGGCGGCGTGGGGACGGCGAGACTGGGGGTGCTCCGGGGAGTCAGCAGGGCGGGCCACCTCGGCAAGAGAATCCAGGAGAAAGGCGGCGGGAAGGAAAGGTGCAGGGAGCCGAGGAGGGAGGGCGTGCAGATCCTTGCGCCCGTCCCCATCCTCGGGACAGGAGCAGACCGCCCGCTTTTGGAACCACCGAAAGCAGGGCATTTCCCCCGCGCGGGGGCGGTCACGCCTGGACGAGGAGATCCTGCAGGGCGAGCCTGCGGAGGGAGCGCGGGGAGGATTGGCGGCGGGGCTCCCCTGCGGCGTGTAGGCTGGACGTTCTTCTGGGGGAGAGGGTTCCTAGTGGTGGTCCGTGTCGGTGCCCTGCGCTCCCACACTCGTCGCCCCCCATCCCCCAGGCCTCGCCCCCAGCCCCTCGGAACCCAGACGCTGCACCTGGAAAAGTGTAGCAGCGCAATTCAGGACTTTTTTGGTAGTGCTGCTGGGGGGATGCGAGTGGGGTTGAGAGCTGCAAACAGGGCTCTAAAGATTCATCCGAGTCGGTCTCGATGCTGAAGATCGCTGGGCTGTTTGTAGGATTTCTCTGAGAGGCTGCAGTATAAAGGACGTTTTAGATATGTGACAGAGTTTTACTGGGCGTCATCTGTTCCTATATTTTTCATTAAAAAAATAAAAAACCTACTGAAACCTCTTTTAACACCACTCGCGGTGTTGATTGGCAGGTGAGGTCTTCTAGATTCCCCCACCAGGGACTTACTCCGAAATCCAACCCTTCCCTTTAACCCAGCTGGTAATGCCTTCCGATTTAAGAGTCTGGATCTGTTTTGCGTAAAACCTGCTGACCTATTTTAGTGTCCTTTAAGATAAAGAACTTGTATCTCCTCCAACTGAGAATCAATCAGGTGCCACATCCTATCCCGAGCAGGAAATGTAAACAGCGGTCTGGTGCTGCAGTATTTCCTAGGCGGGGTGGATGCCCTTCCAATGACTTTGTGACCTTGGGCCTGTCACTTCCCTTAACCCAGACCTCAGTGGAAGATGCAGTTTAAAAGCCAAGCCTTATTTGTTTATTCCTTTTAAAGTTTATTTTGATGCTCGTATACTGGGATCAGATATGGAAATCTGCTCAATCGGCCAAACTTGTTTTTCCAATTTGGTTGTCCGGAACCCCACATGTGGAATATTTTAAGAGAAGGTGCCCAGAGAATGATTTCTTGAAAAGTTTATCTCTTGCAGGTAACATTTATTATCTTGAATTAAATTCCCATCCTTGTGACATGCAGAGAGAGAGCCACCAGGGAACAAATCATTTCGATTCCTCTAACAGTGACACAGGTTAGCCATCGCCTTATGCTAAGGAGGGCAAGAACAGGATTCTCCACGGAGAGTGGCCAGAGAACTTTGTATGGAAATCTGGAACAGTGTCAAGGCCACATCCCCCACACACCACGAATTACGTTTCTTACTCTAATACGGCCTGTGGCCCTGTGTGATCAGCTGGCTGCATGTGCACCCATCCTGCTTTACAAAAGGTTAAAGGCAATTATCCCTACTTTAAAAACCTCATAGGAAGGATTTGTCACAGATTTCCTGTAAAGTGGAACCCGTTTAGTTTATTTACATTTTTATTACTGAGCTGCTGATCAGGTGTGGGCATAGAGGGAGTCCCACCGCTCAGTCCGAATGATGGTAAGGTAGCTCTGAAATGGGCACGTAAGAACTTGGGAAAATATGATTCTCCTTACGTGTATCTGGTTGGCCTTCCCCCTGCTCAGGAGCACATCCCTTATTCCATCCAGGGAGGTAGAGTTACGTTGAAAAAACCACTTACAGCTCAGTCTTCTTGATGAGTAACCGTACTTTTGTTTATGAAGGACAGCTCACGCAAGAGCACGCTGTTCTCTCCTCCAGCTTGTTCTTTACTAAAAATTACTTTGTGTTCAGAGAAGAGCAAGAGAGTGAGTGCAGACTGTGAAACATGAAGGGGCAGAAAACATGAACAGGGAGTTACTGCATCACCTCTTTGAGGGATTGGCCCTTGTCTTTGAGAAATCATTCCTCAAATCTTTCCCTGCTGGTGAGTCTAGCTGGCTCGCTTGGGGATTTGGACATTGTTCTGAAATTTTTTGTTAGCTGGTGGTAGGACTTTAGTGTCAGAAAGGAAATGCATCAGGATGAGAGATGTTAGGTTAAAAAAATAAGTAAACAAATAAACCAGCCCTGGCTGGTGCGGCTCAGTGGATTGAGCACCAGCCTGCAAACCAAAGGGTCACTGGTTCGGTCCCCAGTCAGGGCACATGCCTGGGTGGGGGTCTTGCCAGAGGCAACCACACATTGACATTTCTCTCCCTCTCTAGCTCCCTCCTTTTCCCTCTGTCTAAAAATAAATAACTAAATAAGATCTTAAAAAAAAAAAAAACCCAAAAATCAGAATGCAAAGGTACTTAAATTTCTTTCAATTGTGAACTTTGACATCAGTATCAATTATGCCATTGACCGAGCTGCAAACTCATAGTACTAAACCCAAACCCAATGAAATGCATTAAATAGATGTTGTCCCTGTGCTCCAGATACTTGCAATGTGCAACTTCTGAAGTGTCCCAGGATCATACAATTCGATAGCTATGGTTAAGCTTTTAAGCAAAAAACAAAAACAGAAAACAACGGAGAGAGATGATGGGAAGTGTGCTGAACTTGAGCCTGGAGAGTGAGGCGTAAGCTTGACTTTGGTACTGGGCTGGTTGTGTTACTGTGGCCATTTCATTTCACTTATTTGGAGTTCCAGATTGAAAGCACTCTGTGCTGTAATTATACCAGAATAGTGGAATATTACTATGTTGAAGGTGAAACGGCTTTCCCTGAATATTTTTCTGTCAGATCATGGCAAATCCACTTTCAAAGGAAGTATGAGCACATTATTAATAAAGCTCCTGAACCTGAAATCTCCATTACGAGCCCTATTTTTACTTCCTGAGTAATTCAGGTACAACCAGATCCTTGTTTCTCCCTTCCCTGAGCGCTCCGGACAACTGCCTTTCTTGGCCTTTTGTCTGGCGGAATTGGTTAACGTGACACATTGGTATGGAGTAGGCTACTTGAGTAAATGTGATTCTGAATGTACACTCTGTGGAGAAACTGAGATGCAATAAAATGGTCAACGGCCAGAAGAACCCAGCCTTTGGGTCAGTCAAGCCCTAGATCATCCAGGTTAGATTTCCTGTTGGAAGATTTCTAACTGTCAACTTCAATACATGGCCCTCTCTGTGCTGGACGCTGTACTCTACTAGGAACGTAGGGCACGGGTCAGGGCAGCCAGCAATGATGGCTGTAGAATGAAATCCAACTTTCTTGCTCTTGGGAAGTTAATAGTCTAGGTAGGAAGAGTAATCCTTTGAGGACAATTGCAAAGCAAATAGAACACACATTGAACATCCATGGGGTCAGGATGTGTTGAATAATAACGTTCCATCAGAGGAGGCTTCTGGGAGGAATTTGGCTGTCAGTCTAGACGGGATCATGAGAACCATTCTGATTACCGAGAGCTCTCTCCATTGTAATGTTTGAGCAGGATCGCTCTCTCCATGGACGCATGTGATTTCTCCCTACTGAGAGCGGTACTAGGAAGACTTCCTATGCTTTCCATTCAGCAAAGAGTCAGTGCATTTTTCCTGCATTGTCTAGAGTCTAGATCCTAAACTATAGAGAAACATCTGGATTAAATAGTCCGTTTTAAAAGGGTTGTATTTACCACAATGCAGGGAGCTTTTGCTCTCTGTGTGCTCGTCTCTGTCCCCTAGCGCCCACCTCTCTGTCTTAGCCATCAGATTTCTATCCCTTTGTTTTTCTTTGAACATATTCCCTAACCAGGCAGTGAAATGAGAGGCCTGCCTTTGAGCCAATGATTTATAACGGATCAGTCCTCTCTTATGGAGTTGTGCATGTAGATTGTTAAGCGAGTCTAATGTAAACTGGAAAGTCCCTTAAAAGTTTGGATGGTTCCAAGTATCTACCGTAGCCTGTTTTAATGCAGGCCGAGGCTGTAGACATTCTTTGCAGCAGCAGAGTTATTTCAGAAGCATTCTGCGTACGATAGTTGATTGAATTGGTTTGTTGTAGTTTTTCTACCAGGGGTATGTAACTGGCAACTATCTAACCCTAATTTTGTGGGCAGTTTATTATCAGAACGTTTCTGTCATGGTTCTTCTGCTGTTTATATAACAAGAGTCTGAGGAGACGTTTAATAATTACTCCATTTTATCAGTGCCCCCAGGGAGTTAGTACAATTCTTTTGGGTCCCATTATTTAGATTAGTTATCCTCATCCCCCGTGCGATAGATCCTCGCGTTCTCTTCTGGTGTAGCTGTGTAGTGCAGCCTTAATTTAAATCTGTAAATGCTTTGGTATTTGAAGTGCTGCCACTGTGCTTAGCATTAGTGCAGGCTGAATAGTGGTGGAAATACTCTACAGTTTTGCTGATACCGTCAAGCAGTCCCGTGATCTTGTGCTTGACCCCAGCCCCACCCTCCCCCTCTCTATTCTTTAAACACTCTGACCTTGTTTGTTTTCTCTCTGATACACTTTCTGCCGGAGGGCTGATTTTATTGTCCCTTTTGTCCCCCTCTACCAAACGTGGGCCCCTGAGGCCCTCATTTATCCTGTTCGCAGCTGTGCCCTGGGCCTCCCCGGGTGCCCAACCCCTCGGCCTAGGGTGGCTATGAATGTGGCACAACCCAAAATCCTAAATTTACTTAAAACCTTTTTTTTTTTGCTCCTCAGTTTTCGTTAGTGTTTAATGTGTGGCCCAAGACAACTCTTCTCCTTCCTGTGTGGCTCAGAGACACCAAAAGGCTGGACACTCCTGCATCCAGACCAGTATTCAGACCTTCAAAGGAATTTTTTGGCCCGCCAAAAAAAAATTTTTGTTGAGAGAATAAGTCTATGCGGGGGGGGGGCGGGGGCGGGGAGAAGGTGACAGAAAATGAAG